AGAACATTGGACCAAGAAACTTATTGAAAGCTTGGCGACAAAGGCGGTAAATGAAATAAAAGCAAAGTCAATGGCCTATCGACATGACTGTTGGGCTAATGTGCCTGATCAAAATTGCAAAGAGCCATTTATTTTGTCTTCTAGTGCAGGAGAAATGTTCCAGGTAAATTTATTTATTATTTTCCAGATTTTTTTCTGGGTACACTTTTATTGATAAAAGTATTAGTAAAATATTTTGTGGTGACCACTATATCTCTGAACTGGATCTTCTGAAATTAAAATAAACTGAACAGATTTCGTTAAAGTAATGTTAAATCTAGTAATTAATTAACAAATTCGAAATTTGTTGACAAATTGTGAGTTTCTAAAAACTTTGTTTGTCCTCGATGGACTCCTAAACTTCTGAACCGATTTTAGCAAAATTGAGTACACTGTGTCCAGTTCGAACTAACTTAGAAGATAGGATAGTAAAAACAATTCAAAAATAAAAAATACAGTGAAAGCTTTATTAAGCAGACATCCCCATTAACCATGCCCATTGACAGGTCCCACAATTCGTTAATGTTTATTAAGTACAATCAAGTGAACAACTCCATTAACTCGACAGAAACTTTTGTAACAGAACATTGAGAAAGTAGCCATAAATTCGTTATTTATTTAAATGAAATTTATTTGTATGAACATATTCAAAATTAAACCTCAAGTACTATCCCTTAGATTCACTAGTATTTTGTATAAATATAAATATATAAGGGCAATGCCAAAGCCATCAGTCAATATTTTAGATGAACGTTACGTAACAGTTTCTCTAGTCCTGTTACTATGCTTATTTGCGCATTTACATTCTATAGTACCATAATATATGCCGCCAATGCGTCGCCTACTTCAAATAACATTGTGGCACATACAGTTACTTACAAAATATTAGCACTACAACATACGAATTTACAGTGACATACAAAATACAAGCATAAGCGCACCGACATATACATATATTCATCTCTCTACAGGACTTTAGTCCGAACATTCCAATCAGTGTGGGAGCTATATTCATGAACCGAAGATTAACAAGGCCATGTTATATTGATTTTTACTTGCAATATAATTGGTGTTTACGTATGACTGATTTTAATGTTGTGGCACACTACATTGCTCATGGACGAATAATTGTATAATTGTAATAATTGTATAAATTTTTCCTTGTTTTTTAGGTAATGGTAACAACCCTTCACAATCTGGAGCGAGATCTATCTTTAAACCTGTTTAATCTTACACTGCGTATAATAGCTAATCACGTAGACGAATTTCTCTTCGATAGCCTTGTTATGAATAACAAATTTACACCAGCAGGAGCCGCCCAATTTAATTTCGATATGATTCGAAATCTTTTTCCCCTTTTTGGACAATATTGTCGGCGACCAGATTTACTTTTCAAAAAGTAAGTATAGAATAAATCCGTGCAAGCGTTAACTTTGGTGAATTATTTGATATATGTATGTATGTTCATGATTCAGGATGTGCATCTAGATTTGAGTGGCTCTTACCTATCGCTAAGTATATTAATCCTCTCGTAGTACCAATACTAATCTTGTGTTCTGCCACTAAGCTCTCAGCGCAGTGCGCAGTACAGCTTCTATCCATCTGCACATTGAAGCTGCCGCAATCCTATTTTAGTGCTTTTATTACAGTTTCTTGTGTCATATTCTCAAAGTCACTTTCAATGTCTAGGAAGACCAGACCAACCAGGTCTATGAGTATGCTGATTTGCGAAAGTGATGCAATCCTCAGCGCCTGCGACCTTATTTCGTTTTTTTATAATATTTTTCATGCCTTTTAACATGAAGGAAGTGAGGCTAAGTGGCCTCAAAGTTTTACCCAGTAAATAGTTCTGTATTTCTGTATTAGATATGAAGGTTAGATTTGCTATATTGCAATAGCTCTGGGACATACACCATCGAAAGCATATCTCTTATCGGCCAAACAAGGTTTGGCAATAAAGACAGTCCCTCTTCTTGTTGTAGAAGTGCTGGAAAGGTGTCCTCTCATGGTGACTTATATTATTATGTCGAGAAGGACCCCAATGTTTACTTAATTTAATGCGCAGTGAAGAGAACCTTTAAATGCGTAATTTCGAGGGAACGCACTTATGTGCGTTCACTAGTGAAATTTGGTCAAACGGCTTCTGTAAAATAAGCAAGAAGAAGTGCCTTTGCTCATTCCTCTGTATTGTCTATGCAGCCTGGTCGCATCTGAGCTGATCAGGAGACCTTGTCAGAGAAATTTTTAAAACTGTTATCTTTTTTCGCGGAGTTAATCTCGGTTTTGTACGTTGAAAAGTGATGTAAGATGTTTGTAAGACTCAATAGCTTTACCTGTGGTTCTACGAAAAAACACTGACGATAAGTATAACAAATATGTATGTATAATACATACATATGTTATAAATACATACATATGTATGTATGTATGTACACTTTCATTTTTTGAGTTGAGAATAAAATATTAATAAAATTATTTTAGAATAGGTTGTCACAAATTTTTATCGAAAATAAACCGTACTTGAAGTGTTCAAATGAAAACAAACCTTTAACGAAGATAAAAATAAATCATTAATGTATATGTATAATATATTCTTAATTTAGTTATGATGTATGTACACATAGTCATAGATTGTAAGATCTAAATATTTTTTTTTTTTATTATATAGAGTTCACGATTCAAGCAAGTTGCTAAACGCCGCACGTGGTACTGCACTTTTGTTACACGAAGCGCTAATATCTCAAACAAATCTCGAGCAAAAGATGAATGCACTCAAGGATTTAGGCATTGTTAATTTCAAGTATCAAACCTGTGTACATGTTCTAGAACGACGAATGGACTTAAAAGTTTTGTAAGAAACCAATTCCAAATTGAAATGCTGTGGGCGTTTATTTAATTGTATATAAATAAAAATTATATAAGTCAACTAATGAACATTGTATAATTAAAATATAATGTTTTGAAGGCGAAGATTAATTTCCAGACATACAAGTACATTTCTAGTCGGCGAAATTGTAACTTTTTAAAAGATTTAAAAATGAAAAGGAATGTCGAATTGCGTAGTAGCGAACTGCTACTAAGAAGAGCACAAAGCTTGCCATCCTAGCATGAGCGCCATGGTTCCTTTGAATTTTTTTTAATATGAGGAGAGTGCATAGAAATATGTATGTAAAATATATGTTCACTGCTTTAAATCAAAGAAATTATTATTTAAATAATTGAAAGAGCCACACAAACAGACGACCCTAAAGATAAGGGAGTATTGTTGCGTACCAAAGAAATATGGCACATGCGTCAAAAATGTACGCTCATCTTGTTTCAGTTCTAGTTATTGTATCGTACACCCCTCGAATTTAAATAAAAACTAATTTAATTTTTTTTTTTATAGAAAAGCAGTCTTATTAGAGTTAACTTTTGTAGATTTTTTAACTATTTGCGTTTTTGATAATGAGCTAAGCAAAGCGAACAAAATTAAAAACGCAAACTGTTATTAAATTGCACAATAAAATAGTAAAACCTGTAGGTAGAACTTGAACATAAGGTCGGAAAATTCTCTAAAACTTTGCAATCGAAGAAATAATCACTTCTAAGCTAATATTCGGGCGTTTTTCTAAGCTTTCACAATAATTGTAAATATAAATCACAGGTTGGGCGAATCTAAATCGGTACCGTCAAGCGTAGTCCGCAGTAAGGATTACGAATGATGTAAAGATCAATTTTCGAAAAAATGGAAATCCTCAAAAAATGCTGCACAAAGCTGGTTATTAATCCTATCAAAAGCAAATAACAAAAAAAGCGAAAATTTGCTAAAAAAAAATTTCTTAAGAAAATGAATTAGTTTGCGGAATATTGTAATACCTACAGTCAAATATGGAAATCATGGTTTGGGGATGAATGGCTGTATCTGATGTGGGTAATTTAGAGTTTATACCACATGAAATGGGCAAACATGTCGCACAGTAAATATAAAAGAGTCAGCTCGCAAAATGACAAATGTGCAGGAAGCAGACAGATGACGCAATTGACTCAAAAGTAAACCTAATGGTGATTTTCCAGTTTAGTAAGACGGTGTATCAATGAATTTTTTTGGTATGTATTATACATAAATAAGTTTATTACGAATTGATAATTATATTGAAAAAATTGAATTTGAAAATTATTTTTCAAGAAGATAATGACGTATCTAGTCCACGAGTGACTTCTATCTGCTAACAATCACCACATTCACCCGACATTAATCCCACAGATTCTATAAACTGTGGGTTAGCAGCATTGTATAAGTTTATAGAATCTGTGGGATTAATGCTGTGGTTAGCAGCATTGTATAAGTTTCTAGAATCTGTGGGATTAATGTCAGGGAGGCCTGGGGCACGGAGAAAATTTCAGTTGAATGTTCCATATTTCTTTTGTGTTTGCGATTACGCATATGCTGATTCAGTGCGTATGCGACAAATGGACAGCATAAACTGAACCGATTAATAAAAGTTTCCCTGCATTTATAACTCCATTGAATCTGATTGAACTAAAGTTTTTCTCATATTTTCAACCGATTTCGTAGAATATCATGCAAGATATGATTTCCATTTTATTGTTGGTATAAATTCCCTGTAATAGGTTGTATTATATGTTCTTTGGTTTTAATGCTCCCGAGTAAAGTTATGTCTATATAGAACTGAAACTAATAAAATCTCTTGTATGTAGTTCCACTTTCTTGAAATGTACATTCATGAACTGATATTATTCTATCTTTGAAATAATGACTCTGTAAAAGTAGTTACTTAATTTTTTATTTATCACAATCTTTACATTAAAAATAATACTTAAACAAGTTGTTGTGCACTTTAAATCATATTGACAAACAGAACCTGAATTTTTTTTTTATTAGTTTAATAATCAATTTTTTGAAATTACTTTTTTTTAAACAAAGAAAATATAAAATTGAAATGTATAATGCAATTATATAATATATGTAAAAAATCTACTGAACTATGTCATCAACTGAAGTCTGACGAGTCGCTTTTTACATACTTTTATTCAAATGCTTTATCGATTAAATGTAAAATTAATGCCGATGGATCGTCATATAAAGTTGACATCCTATTCGGACAACGGTGTTTAATTTAATCAATCTGATATAAAATACCCATTTGCTCTTTAGTCAATTTAATGACATAAATGTGAAAGAGTTAATACTTATGTGGAAGTTACTCCCTTTCTGGCAACGAGCATATTTAGTACTGGGTTTTTTCGAATATAGCTCACGGCCTTTTTATGCGTTACCATTGTAAAATCATAGCCATTGCACTGCAAAATTTTGTCATGGATACGAAGACCAGCTCGGGAAGCTGGGCTCTTATCGTGCACTTCCGTAACATAAATTCCCTGTAAAATACACACGATTAAAATGAATTTTATGGAAATGTTACTTACTAACATAATCCGTATATCCTTGAGGACTTTTTTTGAAGTCTTGATCAATACCACCTCCTATTTTAAAGCCACATTTCAGTATTTCTCTGCCTTCTCTATCGTAATCTTTCTCTTTGTGAAGAGTTATTGGGATCTAAGAAATAGTTTGTTATATGCAATACAAAACAGAACTTTTACTTACACTTAAGCATTCCATAGCCGTTCCGGCCTGATGTTGAAAAGCCATTTTCGCCATAATGAACTCCGAAATTTATGCCTAATCTTCCCGTTAAATGTGTACTATATCCAACAGACCAGGATTTTTATTCTTTTTGTTTAAGTTGCCTTTACGATGACTTAAATATCACTATTAAACAAACGATTACAAACAATATTCGATACTTCGATAACCATGTACCCTTTACCATACGCAAGCTGTGTTCCCGAACTAAAAGAAGTTAATAATTTTTATATAAATTACAAAATAAAATAAAAAACTTAACAATATCGTCAAACAATCAACTGTAGCTTGGGTACAATGTTTATTGATATACACTTCACTCAAGCATTAAACAATGCGAAAATCACACATACAAAACTGTTTAAGCACGATGTGCTGGGCAATTTGAGCGCGACAGACTGCAAGCGGCATCTGTCAAAAATTAAATGCACACGTTCTTATGGACACAGTTATCTTGACAGCTGCACGACTGCAGGACGACAGTTTTTGCTCTCGCTAACTTCAATATATTATTATATTTGTAAATGACAGTGGGACGAAAGTAGAGTTGACGGTAGAGAGATGAGGTGGAGTGGTGATGCCACTAATATGTAAAATTAGTTAGGGCTCTAACAAGCCAGACATGTTATTTTACAAATAAAAGCATAAAATAGCTCTATTATAACATTTGTAATAAAAATTGATAATTTAAAACAAATAAATTTACCTATTTCCTTATTTTTGACATAAAGAATTTCACTTTAAACAAAATATTAAAAATTCATTGAAGTGCAAGGTATTAGTATGGCCACAACGAAATAATGTACATGCATTTGTCATGTTGCAGCCTTCTCACAAATGTTAATGTAAAAGGATTCACAACGCGATTCTCAGTTCACTGTCGTGCTGCCATGTCGTGTCGCGCTCAATGTGTTCAGCACATGAATAGAAATTTAAAACCTGTCGTGTACATATTTTTAATGGATATCATTGCAAGACTGAACTTTTCGGGCTTAAATTAGAAATATAAAAACTTCATTGTCCAACGCAAGTGCAAGGTAAAATTTTGACAATTTGAAATATATGTACAGACCAGAGAGCTGCAACGAGTATGATAAAATCAAAACAAACAGTCGTGCCAAAAACACATTCAAATCAATTCAGTTCAGCATAAACAACATTGTTAATCAATGCGAGTAGCCGCCAGCGTAAACTGATCAGATGCAACATGAACAATCTGTTCTTCGGCAATCACGATCGAGTAAACGGTATGCCTGGCTTCGGTTCCAATCGTATCATGACAGCTCATCGAGTAGCGAGGATTGTTTGAATCGATGTGATAAATCTTTGAGTACAGCAACAACAATAATTTTCTGCTGAACTGATTTAAATCATGTGTGACAAAAAATGTATCAGCTTTGAAAATGTGCGCATATTAAAAATTTTCGATGCGTAAACAATGGAAATTCCATCGAGTACGTATGTGCCTACATTTCTTGTCTGTATTATATGTACTTGATGGATTTTATCTAAGCTTAAAACCTTGCATATACCTCAATTGCCAGCCTCGAAATTAAGCACAGAATAACTTTTGCCAACAGGTACTACTTGGGACTAAGTAGACTATTGAGAAGTAAAAACTTCTCTAGACGAAAGAATACTAAATGCTATATGTCACTCATCATGGTCCTTAGCGCATTGGCAACGGCGAATAACGCAGTCGATGGAACTATGATCTGTACTAGTTTGGTCATGTCTTCAGAATGGACGAAAAAACTCCAGCTCGGAGATTATTTGACGCAGGGACCGACGCGCCATTGCAAAATCGACGCGTAAGCGGAGTCTAAACCCAAAAAGAAAAAGATTTATTGTAGATCATGCTATTGATTTCAAGTTTATTAAATACTTTTTACTGCAAAATGAAAAGACTGTGATAATAACAATAATTAATATCATGGTATAAATAGATAAAACTATTCTACAGCAGACCATGCCTTATTGCGAACAAATTTCATATTTCATTACTTACTTAACTTACTTGTACAGAAACTTTACATTCATATAAATTGACGAAACCTAGCTCAGGAGGTATTCACCACGAAAAATGTCAGAATTTCCTTTTTATCTGTCAGAATTCTAATTTTTTTATCGTTGTTTTTACCTCAGATATCAAAATTCAAAATCTAAGTAAAAAAGTCAAATGCTTTATCACAATAATTTTAAAATTTCAAGTTTGAGGATTTTTAGCTTTTCACGACGATACGATATTTGGACCTTTTTTTAACCTTACTGGAAATATTTCTTTAAGAAAAATAATACTTATATTAAGATACTATATACTATATATTAAGATATAAATTTGTATGTATATCGAATGTAGATAGCGTAGTAGTAGGCGAGCACGTTGTCTAATATTCTCAATTTATGAATTTGAAATTAAATTATTTTAAAAACTATGACCTTTCTCTTCATTATCTGGAAAATGTCTTCTGTCAGCTCATTCCTATTTAGACTGCGTATTCGCGAAAAACTTTTTTAAAAATATCTCAAAAGTTATGTTGAAATAAACTTAATGAACAATAACTCATATTGGGAGTCTATTCTAAATTTTTTCTCGTTCGATAAATTTAGCAATACACCTAGTGTGGCATGAAACATTTTCGGTACAAGTTGCGAGGACATGCTCTATGTTCACACCTTAAGGTTAAATCTAATACAATTTGACATGACGTCAAAAGCATCGTAAAGGTAAAAATCGATCTTTTTTCGCGCTATTGTCAATATTGTTTTGAATTAACGTTTCTGAAAAATGATTACTACAGTTGAAAGTAGAAAAAGTCCTTTCGCGAATAAAAATGAGCCTTTCCAAGTTTCAACCATGTTCAACTTAAATAGAGAACTCAATCAAGTTCTACAAGAGCGTAATCGGATGAAAATTTGTAATACGAGTAAGTTAAGAATTAAATAACACTCATTATTTTGCTGCAGTATATTAATTTTATAGGATTCTATGGCAGTGGATTATCGCACAAAGATGAGCGGGAAAAAATAAAAACTTTAAGATGTAAGGCTGTGGATGAAATAATTTCATCTGAAAGAAATTACCTTCGCCAATTAGAAGTTCTTTTGAACTATTTCATTAAACCTATGAAGTTACATACATTAATTGATGATCGTAACCATTCTTTCTTATTTGGACAAATTGAAATGATATATAATTTGAATGGCGAATTACTGCGTGAGTTGGAAGAAAATAAAGATAAAGTTGCAAACGCGTTTCTTAAAATGGCTCCATTTTTAAAATTGTATTCTGTTTACGCCTTTGATTTCCAAAATGCACTGCTTTTGCTACAGGAAATTGGAAATAAAAATCCGGCTTTTCGCAAATTTGTTATCCAGACTGAGACACGTCCTGAAGTACAGAAAACGTTGAATTCCTTGATGATAATTCCAATACAACGTTTACCTCGATATAAATTACTTTTAGAACAAGTTCTTTTGTATACGAGTCCATCTGAGTCTGATTTTAAATTATTGAAAGGTAAGAAAATCTTTAAATCCTATATATCTTTAATTTCCAGCAAATAAATATTTAAAAAGTAAAGCAAAAAATAAAAAAACCGTAAAATCTAACTTTTTTTTTATTAAAATATTTGGTAGATTTATAATATTTAAGTCCCCCAACGAAGGAGGCCGCGAAAATTAATTATTTTTCTAAATCGTCTTATTTTGACGCGAAAATGAGAGTTCCGTGAGCGGCTCAATGGTTGGCGGACTTAAACTATACATTTACTAAAAGATTCTTTGTTAGGCCTGATTTATGAAATAATCGCAATTTCTTTAAATAATAATTATCAAAAAATGTATAACGCTTACGTTAATTCTTGTTTTAAAAACTTACATTTCTTTTCGTATCAACTACTTAAATGTACATACTATATATTTAAATGCTATTTAGATTCTGTAAAGCAAATCACATCAATTGTTTCTCATATAAATTCATGTGTGGAGGATCAAGAAGTAACCTTAATGCTTCTTAACTTACAAAACTCACTTTTGAATCGATCACCTAAAATTGTTAAACCTTCAAGGAAAATTGTTAGAGAAGGACTACTGCATAAAATTTCTCGATCTGGATCTCAGATAAAACGATATTGTGTTCTAATGTCTGACATATTTTTGTACTGTAAAATATTAAGGGATCGTGAAATAAACACTACGGTAGAAAATGCTTTGGAATGCTGTTGCATTTTTCCTTTGAAGAAGTGTAAAGTGTATGAACTTTTCTCTGACAGTTTTAAAATTACTTGTCAAGGCGATGCAGTAATATTCAGTTCATCAGATATACAACTTGTACATTCGTGGATAAGCAGTATTCGGGATACTATAGATGTACACATCCAGTGTAGAAAGACATTGAGAAAGGAATCTAGTAAACGCAAACCTACCAGGTGTATAATTTTTCTATTTAAAATTTAGAAATATTTAACAATTATACCTTTCTAGGAAGAAGAATATAAGACATTTTGAAAACGATTACCCAAGCAGAAAAATATCGGTATGTATGAATTATAATTTTTTTTAACGAACACAATACTACATGAGGCAAAGAAACATTTTATTATATTTTTTTAAATTTGAATTGCAATAGGCAGGATTGTAAATTATGCATTAAAATAGTTAATTATAACAATTATATTATAATTTTTTTAATTTGTAATTTCAAAAACCGGGGTTTTAAATAAAAAACAATTTAATCCCAAATACAGGATAGAAAAATATTAAACATTTACTTAATTACAAAAAAAAATTAAAATATCGGATTAAAAAAAATGATAGCTCAAGCATATAGTTTGGAATTAATACCAGAAATTGTGGCGTTTCGCCTTCGTGTTCTCCCATTTTTAACTCGAGGAGCCATCATCTTCAATAATCTAGAGCCTCTTTTAACACATTCAAAAGATTTATGGTATATTTTTTCAATTATGATTGTAATAATATGTATATAATATTTACACCATTTCGGCGCGCAATTGCGTTTTAACCATTAGAAATTTTATCTTTGTATTATTAATTAATATTAATACATTTCAGCAACACATAAAATGCAAAAGTTTCCTGGAAATTGACGATGAAGCGATTGGCTGTTTTCCGTTTAAGAATTGCCATCAGTCAAATATAAACGTAGCGGTTTCACCGACCGAATGCAGTGAAAGTGATTTTAAACGTAAAAAGAGTTCAGGATTTAATACTATGACACTTTTAGAGAATCAAAATTTGATCACGGTTCCTTCACTAAAGCAAGAACATGACTATGTTGTGCAACAACCACTTCATAAACGAGTAAAATTTGATTTCAAAGAAAATAATACAAGTTACACAGATGAGAAATTTGTAACTAAAAACGTTGATACAAAAGTGACTTTGACTGATAAAATATATAAGTTTTTTACTAATTTATTTTAACATCCATATACGTGTTTTGATTATAGAAAATAAAATTTTAAATATCTAATTATAGCTTGGCTTAAGCTGAATCTACATAGCTTGGCTATGCAAATTCGTAACTCTGACGAATTAATATAATATAAATGACTTGTATGATGAGCTCTATAGCTTAAGCATGTTTGCGCATACAACGGTGCAAAATTTGTAATTTTATTCGAAAATGCAAATAAGTTGCACTTTCGCACATGCATACCCGTGTTATGTAGTTTCAGCTTTATTCGATACTTATATTCAATAGTAAAAGATGCGCAGTATTTCTGAATATTTTGCTCTGTGTTAAGAAAATTTAGTAGTTTGACTTCAAACGATTTTTTTTTTACCGGTTGAGTTGATATCGACAATACCGAATTTCATTAGAGTTGAAAACGGTTTCAGGGGTCATAATAAATTAAACTATTCGCTTTATTCTCCCATATGTTTACTCGTTTTAGAATGTCGTATATGGCGAAACTGTTGTATACTTACGGATAGAAGTTGAAATTGTTATACTTTCATGCGCTAGACAGCGTAAACAAAAGAACAATTTAACGGAACTGAGAGCTATAATGACGCTTTTGTATAGGCATATAGGCGCGAAGTATAGGGTGTCCCCTTCACCATGCATACTGAGCTCCGAAACAGAATTTTGAAATATAAAGGAAATTCTTAAAAACTGAAGGACTGATAATACATCAGATGTTTTCAATCCGGGAGGATTCCCTATTCCGTCAAAGAAAGTTAAAAATTTTATTTCCTTAAAAAGTGAAATACAGAATGTATTGCACATGGTAGATAGGATATTTATATTTTTTAATTAATTTTTGTTTTTATAAAATTTTAACAATATATTATTAAAATTATTCTACAAATACAAAAGATTTTATTGTGCCATATCAACAACCTTTCACTATTCAATTTCTTAATTTTTCTATTTCCTCCATAAACTTACTAATTGATTTTTCACATAGATTATTCGCCCAGAAGCCATTGAGCTTAAAAGAGGAACCAACAATGACTGCCTGGGCTCTTTCATAATATTGGTTTAGGTTTGTATTTGTCACCCCAGAGCCTATTATCAAGGGAGTGCTAATTTTACCCGCTACCTCATCCAAATCTTCCATATTAGCCGCACAACCTGTTGATCTGCCTGAAAATAATGAAACAATTTTATATTTATTTACTCATTGTTTTAATATTATTTACCTGTTATCACTACACCATCCGTTAAAAAAAACTCTGCTGCTTTCGCGGTCTCTAATAATGTAACATCATGTGTGATGGCATGGGAACTATGTTTCTTTTTTAAATCCGTGAAGATCAGAACATTTTCGGCATCAATATTCTTTCGATAGCGCAGTATCTCCCCAGCGCAAGCATCTGTATAACCTTCATCTGCCACATGTGCAAATACAAAGCCTTCTGCGCGAATGAATTGTAAATCACATGCTTTTGCGACGGCTAATGCTTGTTTGTTGCCGCAAGCCAGTATTTGAAGTCCACAAGGCAAAGCATATGGAACTATTTGACGAATTTCGTTTGATATTCTCGATAGACAAGCAACGGTTTCTGGGCCTAAAAGACGATTTGGTATATAAGGTACATCGTGCATATTTTCTATTAAGATGGCATCCTGGGAAATAAAAAAAAAATGGTTGAAAAAATATTGAACGTTGAAAAAATATCAGTTATATTCACCACTTTATGTTTAACGTAAATACTGGCTTCGATTTTAGCTTTCTTCACAATTTGTGACCAATTTCCTTTGTATCCGGGTGTACCTTGATATACATATATTTACGTTAAAAAATATTTTAGTTTTGTATTTATTTAGAGTGTAATTATTATTAATAAGAAAATAATATATTAGAAAAGTATTAGTATATTGATTAAAGGGGTAGGATTAAATCGTGTAAAAAAATATATATAAAAATAGTTTTCAAAATTTTTAAACAGTCGTTTTGAAGTTATAAGTAAAAAAATTAAAAGCTCTACTATTCCATAGAATAGAATTTAATTGAGATTTGCACCGTGTCCTAAAGTATATTAGCCTTACTTCCCCATAAACAAAAAAGTTATATATTTTAAGCCAACCGATTGTAATAGAAAGAATATGACGAAAGTACACCCATTCTCATATAAAAATCCATCATTTTATTTGATGATTTGAAATATGTATTTCATATTGAAGCAATTTTAAATAGTTTTCAGTAATAAGAATTAACATTTGGAGTAAAACCTTGTCCCCATAGTTTGTACTAGGTATGCTAGTTCTTAACTAAAAATGATCGAAATCGGCATATAAATTTTATTGCGTCCAGATACTTAGTACTCAGTGCCAATATCTGACTTTATTCCGGAAATATCGGTAAATTTTTCAGATATATAAATGATTAATTAATGAAATTCAGAAAGACATTTTTCTGAGAATAAAGTTGGGCTTGTGTAAAAATTGTTACCCTAGTTCAAATATACAGAACATAAAATTTTTGGAAGTTGATGTTGATTTACCTATAGCAGTTAATGAAATTCAGAGAGCAACTTTCCGTTAAAAGTTTAAGTTTTCCCCATATTTCTTGATCTTAAGTTGTTTCTTAACGATTAATTGAATATGAATGAAGTCAGCCTAATCCCAAACCTCTAATATAAAGATATCCGCGCTTCATCCTTATACATATATTCAATATTTTACTTTTCTTACTTGTCTTAAATTATTATTTGCAATCATGCGTCACTTATATTCAAATGTATTAAAGTTGTATCAGACGAATTGAACAGTTTAATACTACGTAATTTGTACACTCCCATTAAGGGGTTAGGGGTAGTCAGAATTTTTAAAAAATTATTTTTTGTTTTTTTTTGCATTTTCGTTAAGTGTAATATCTTAAAATAATTGTCTCAAAATTTCACGTTGATCCGATAATTAGTTTTAGAGTTATTCGACAAATAACAAAGAGAACTCGGGCACTTCAAAGCGCTAGTGTGAAACTTTAAACGCGTTTTTCTCAAAACTATGTTTTTTGAACTGGTGAGCTTTTAGAATACATAATAATCTCGGGCCTGATCGAAGGATTTTTATTTTTTAAAAAATTTCGATTTTTTAAGAACAACTAACAGTTGATTTTTCCCAAAAATTTAGAAAAAAATTTCCCGAGGCCGCCATTTTGTTAATTTTTGAAAAAACAAAAAATCTTTCGATCAGGCCCAGGATTATCTATTTATAAAACTAATTTTTTTTTCCAATTGATTTTAGATGAATCTCCAATAATTTATGGTTGTCACCGCAAGTACCTTTTTTTGGAACAGGATCAACACAAACAGCTATAAGAATCAGAATTGAAACCGATCAAAAAAGCAGTAGGTGTCATGAATTCAGATATTATTGGTTTGATATTCGAAACATAATTTGTATCGGTTTTTTGTGTCACAGAAACCAATTTTATCGGTTTTGCTGTCAGAAACAAATCAAGAAGATAGTCGCACACAGATCTGAAATGTAAGTTAAGAAATCAAGTTATTTTATTGTTACGAATTAATTTACCTTTATTTCTATAGGAGAAAACATAAGAATAAAATAAGAAATGTCTTAATTATTTAGTTTTTTTTTGGGGGAGCCTGCTTTAGAGGCTTAAAAAATCGATTTTTTTTGAAGGTTTTTTGGGAGGGAAATAAGTAATTGAGTAAATCGAAATTTCTAGGGTTTATAGTTATATATTTAAACATCATCCGCACATTTTTTTGAAACGAAATCTTTTACATTTTGCCTTTGGAAAGTAATTGTCAGATGCTTCTCGCATGTGCATATGGCAGACAGCGGGCAGGATGCGGGTCGAGATTTCTACCCGAAACAAAAAATTCAAAGAGATTAATATTATTTAATAACTTATGTTGAAATTAAACTGAAAATATCAAAAAAAAAAAGTAAAATTATAAAAATTAAAAAAAAAAAACCTGATTTTGGTCTAAAAAAAAGTTTACTTTAAATATATGTTCAAGCTTAACCTTTCTTAGTTTTTTCAGTTTCAATAGAAGATAATTTAATGCCAAAGATAATTAACATTGCCCCAAATCTATATGACGTTCAGTTTTTTTTTTTATTATGCCTGACAATTAAGAAAAATCGTAAAAATTAAAAACGAAATTTAACACCCAAATGCGTCTTTATTCATTCAATAAATCTCTTAAAATATTTCTTTAATTCGGAACTCATTAAAAATTTCAATAGGATTGCTCCCAAATGTATTCATTTGCAGGTTTTGTCACATTAGTAAACAGCTGCTTCGAATATTGGTTTTGCACATGTTCGAAAAGACAAAAATTCAATCAGATTCTGTGACACCATTGAAAATCAGAATTGGTTTGCAATTCTGACAGCTAAGCAATTCTGTCTTGGATTCCACAACACCCCTGAATGCCATATTACTACATTTGTAAAATAGCACGATTTAATAGCAAATAAAATACTGAAATTTGTAATTTTTTCGTGCCTATGACTACCCTTAACCCCTTAAATTACAATTGTTATGTTTTTGTATTCATGTGTGAAGATTTTATTATTGAAATTAAATAATTTTTGCAGCCATTATTATGTACAAAATTTACCTGGCAAAGCATCCACGTGTATCATCGCAATTATATTGCATTTTTTATCACCAAATACTTTTGTAAAGCGATTCATTGCTGTAAAAAACGAAAAACATTATTATTTCAGAAATTTTAAATATGGTAAATTTTACACATTTACAAGTATTTTTTTACAATAAAATAAACGTATGTATATTTTTTATGATCCAACCCTTACATATCGCATGAGAAAAAAGAGCTTATCATAAAACCGTTGGCGATTCACAGCTCATTTAAATATTTCCATTTGGAGAGTTTTAATCAATCCTGCATTTCTTTTCAATAAAACTGTGACATAATTAAGTAATTTTGTTTGAAAAGGGTAAATTTAATTTTTTTCGTCACAGTATACATTAATATTGTTCGTTTTTATTAAATAGAGTTGGTTTAAAAAAAGATCATAGTCATTGTCGCCATGGCCAAGAATAAAAGCACAACTCTAAGCAAAAGAAAGTTTATGTGGGAATGTTTTCAAAAATATCAAAATATTGGCAAAGTTGTAGACGTTTAATGGTTTTCCTGTGGTAAAATTCATAACGTTTTGAATTTTATTATTAATTAAGGTTTGTTACTTATATGAGGTCTAGGGCAAGTTTTCACCCGATTAATCCTCAGCACATAGATGCATCGTTATTATAAAAACACGCTCCCTCAATTTTATTAAGCTAGCTCACATATTGGCCGATATTAGCGGTATAAAGTCAACCGGAAGTTCGAAAACCTTAATATTAGGTACATAGGCTAAAGGAAGTATTGAAGTGATTCAACCCATTTGTAACGCATAGTTGTATAACTATCAGAAAGGATTATCTCCAAATTTAACTAAATATCTACCACACTAAAGTCAACCGTAGGTTTTATATAAAAGTAGGCGAAGTCATACCCTTTGTGAACTTCAGCTCCTTTAAAGGCGAGTTGGAAACCGGATGTCTATCTGGCGTTCGTTGTAGCTGGGGCCCCTGCGGCAAAATAAAAAGACCCTCCAAAATGGATGATAACCCAGGTATGAAGGGTTATCATCCATTTGGAGGGTCCTCCAGATCAAGAATATATATTATATATATATGACGCGGACTTATGGTTTTTGAAGTATTTGCATTTAAAGTTCAAAAAATCAACTGTTTATGATGTGTCTTTCTCCGATTTATAATGAATTTTACACATATATAGTTTTAACTTTTTTATCCACTAACACTTCACTAATTCGTTTCTAATTATTTTTTCACAATTTCGATTTCTTTGGCGCCGCGATTTAAAGGTACATATATATATATTTACTTACACTGTACACATTCGTATATATCAAAAATTTACACTAATTGTATATTTTTTTAGAAAATAAATATACTTTAAAAACTATTTTTTTATTTATTATTTTTTTTATTAATTTGAATTTACTTAACCGTTTGAGATACAGTTTTACAGGGGATGAATATTTACTTGGCCAGCTTTAAAGCTATAACGCCATCGCCCAATTCAATATTATACAATATTGTGTGATTCAATTTTACAAACTTAATTGTATGTCATTTAAGAAATTAATAAAAGTTATACATGTCGCAGAGTTGGAAGAGTTGTTGATAAGTAAAGGATATCTGGATCTTATATTTGTGAATTTGTTACAATGAAAGAGTATGTGATTTGTGTCTTCTGTTGTGTAACACATTTCGCAGTTAGAACTATTAAAAATATTCATTTTAGTCAATGTGGCTTTACAGAATGTGTGATTTGTTAGTATTCTGTTTATTTGTTTAATTTTCATAGGTTCTATTCTGTTTTTGTTGTTATGGAACCATGGCTTATTGATTAAATTTGCAAATATTCTACCATTATCTTTTCATTTAAATAAAATTTTACTTTTGTATTCTTGTTCCCATTCGTTTTTTATTTTGTTAAATACTTCTTTTGTTGTATCTTTGATTGACCACGGTATTCTTAGTAGTTCTCCAGGCACGATTCCGATTACTTTGGTGGAGGGGTAAAAAACCGAATTTCCGTATAAATGGGTATGTCCGGATAGGGGAGCTCCAGAGGAGGAATATCCAAAAATAATATAAAAATTACTCATATTTTTTTTAAATTTTTACGATTAAAAGTTCAAAAATATACCCTAATAACACAAGGTATTTCTCTATCTTCCATTAAATTTGTTCACGTTTTTCACTCTGTATATTTAAATATACACTCTAAACATTAAAATAAGTTCACATTTCAATTTTATTTTGTAATATTTCACCTAAATTTATTAACTTCAAAATCACTTAGCGAACTCGGCGTTGCAAAGGTTAGATTTTTACAATTATGAAGAAAACGAGCGTTGCCACATCTTAAACACCAAATATGTAGGATTCTTAATGATTTTTCTTTGTTTGTTTTTTGCGTGACTCTTTTTTCTACATTAATTATAATAAAAAATACTTTCTAACATTTTTTAAGTTATAATTGAGTCGTGAAAACTTTTTCCACATATTATACATTTTACATATATATGTATATGTATAATATGTGATTTATATTTAATAAACACCTATAATTAAAACTCTATGATAAAATGTATAGTATTATAAAATTTATATAATATCATGTCGGGATGACTGAAGTACTTTAAAAAAAAATAACTCTGGCCGAGCGAATACCCGGGTGGACCGAAGTACTTTCGCGGAGTGCTCCTTTCTGCGTTGGCGGCCTTCGACCGCGCTTTAAAAAAAATATAAAGTGGTTATATTTGTTAGTTACCATGCACTCATATTGAACGAAAGTTTGAATTTTCGTACTGTACTAATATACTTTACACTTGATTATGTAATGTTATATAATCTTACTTATACATATGTATACACAATATTATTATATAATATTACTAATACATGTATATAATATTACTTTTTGCTTAATAAATTTAAAAAAGAAAATATCCATATGCATGAATATAGGAATTTTTGCGAAAAAGAGGAATTTCAGCGAATTACCTTATCATCACATGGCACTTCACTTGGTAAACAAATGGGGTAAAAACGAGTGTAAAATGTAATTTTTAAAATGCAGATTTTTTAGGTAAAAAACCTGCTAAAAGTGTAAGATATGAAGTTATTTAAAAGTTTATAGTGTAATTTAATGAATTTGAAGTGAAAAATGTGAATAAAGTGTGTTTAATGTGGTGAAGTAGCGTCTTGAAATGTACGAATTTTGCGAATTTTTGAACTTTAAGGTTGAATATCTCCTAAACTAAGCGTTTACGGTACCTATAATCTTATATATTTTTTAATCAGGAGGGCTTCCTTTTTCCAACGGTAGATTCAGATCGCGGCGCCAAAGAAATCGGAATTGTGCCCATGCATTGTTGACACTTACATATCTACCTAGGTATTTAATGTTCCGCGCTTGGTCAAGTTGAATATTATTTGGGTTGTGTTTAGTATCGCGCCGGTTAATTTTGGCTCCCCGTACCTAAATGAGAGAACCAAATGGAAAATTTTAAACACGCATGTATGCTTAAATTATCGAACTTTGTTTTAAATAATATTTTATAAAAATCGGTTCACAAATTTTTCCACAAATTCACTTTAAAAAATGCTATTTTTTGCAAAATTCTAAATATA